CAGCCTCACAATGTCGAGGTGACCCCTCCCCGATGCTAGATGCAGTGCAGTCTGACCATCTTTATCGACTAAGTCAACGGGTGTGTTGTGTTCAATGAGCAGCCTCGCAATGTCCAGGTGACCATTGCCTGATGCAAGATGCAGCACAGTCTGGCCATATGCATTGACTAAGTCAACACGTACATTGTGTTCAATAAGCAGCCTTGCAATGTCGAGCTGACCATTGCTTGATGCGAGATGCAGCACAGTCTGGCCATATTTGTCGACTAAGTCAACAGGTGCATTGTGTTTGATGAGCAGCCTCACAATGTCGAGGTGACCCCTCCCCGATGCTCGATGCAGTGCAGTCTGACCATCTTTATCGACTAAGTCAACGGGTGTGTTGTGTTCAATGAGCAGCATCGCAATGTCGAGGTGACCCTTCCTCGATGTAAGATGCAGTGCAGTCCGGCCATATACGTCTATTAAGTCAACAGGTGCATCGTGTTCGATAAGCAGCCTTGCAATGTCAAGGTGACCAGCCCTCGATGCAAGATGCAGCACAGTCTGGCCATGTTCGTCGACTAAGTCAACAGGTGCATTGTGTTCGATGAGCAGCCTTGCAATGTTGAGGTGACCATCACTCGATGCAAAATGCAGTGCAGTCCAGCCATCTTCGTCAACTAAGCCAACAGGTGTGTTGTGTTCGATGAGCAGCCTCGCAATGTCGAGGTGACCATTGTTCAATGCAAGATGCAACACCGTCTGGCCATATCTGTTGACTAAGTCAACAGGTGCATTGTGTTCGATGAGCAGCCTCGTGATGTGGAGGTGACCATTGCCTGAGGCAAGATGCAGTGCAGTCTGGCCATTTTTATCAGCTAAGTTAACAGGTGCATTGTGTTCAATGAGCGGCCTTGTGATGTCGAGGTGACCATTGCTCGATGCAAGGTGCAGTGCTGTCCAGCCATCCTCTTCGACTAAGTCAACATTTGCATTGTGTTCACTGAGCAGCCTCACAATGTCGTGGTGACCATTGGTTGACGCAAGATGCAGAGCAGTCTGGCCCTCTTTGTCGGCTAAGTCAACAGGTGTGTTGTGTTTGATGAGCAGCCTCGCAATGTCGAGATGACCATTGCTCGATGCAAGATGCAGTGCAGTCTCGCCATCTTCATTGACCAAGTCGACAGGTGTGGCATGTTCGATGAGCAGCCTCGCAATGTCAATGTGACCATTGCTCGATGCAAGATGCAGCGCAGTCCAGCTGTTTTCATTGACTAACTCCACCAATGTGTTGTGTTCAACAAGCAGATAGTGTACTCCCTTTGTGTAACCCATTTCAGCACATATACACACTGCCGGTGATATTGTTCCATTCCACGCACGGGTCTCATAATGACCCAAGGGACGCAATTGGTACAAAGCAGCATGTTGGCTGCTCCCATCTTCTAGGAGACACATTGTCGAAGGAAGTAGTGCATCCTGGTCCTGGTCATCACAAAACCGCAGGTGATGGAACCAATATTTTGCTGCATACAACGCGATCGGGTAGTCTTGAAGTGTTTCCTTGGTCATTGAATGTTGGGGCTCAGCAAAAAGGAGGAGATAGCGGACACAGGTTTGGGTAATAAATTTGTGCGAGGTATATATTCCAAGGTCAATGACTGAGCTAAATTCTTGCCGGAATTCATGGGAAAGGATATAATCTTTGACCGATGAATGTGCAAAGGCTATTGACGGTTTATCTGTGCTATTGTTCATTGAGTCCTTTGACCTCTCTGGGCCATCCCTTCTTATCACGATCAGGCCCTCTAACAACTTGAAGTTGTCAGAGTTGTCCAGACGTCTTTTTGGATAGTAAGTGGATTTTGCTGGGTCAGAAAAATTGAATGCAGGGGCATCTAGGCGGAAAGAAATAGCATCTGCCAGCTCATCTGATGTGACTTCTCTGGCAGAAAACACAAGCCACCGGAAAATTGCTTGGATGAAAGGTGACTTGAGAGAAGCTTGTGCCCGGGTCAAAAAACGACTGTAAATCCAGAACAGATCAGATGGAAGGGCTGTGAGGATCTCCTGCCACTCGTCCTCATAACAATGCTCCAGTTCAATGAGGAGGCATGCGGCCATGCGGAACCTGGGTATGCACGTAAGCTTGAGGACAAATTATAGTATGATGAGATGGCTGACATTCCATTGCTCTTCTGCACAATCTGCTCCGTGACCTCCTTAGCAGATTTGTCATCCGTAATCCAATTTCTGGCCCCAGGAACTTTGCTGCTGAGGAAGGACCTGATGTCGCCAGTTGAAAGTGCGGAACCAAGCTCGATGGAGGTTACATCCTTGAATGCATTGTTGAAGTCCTCATGAGGTTGACTGGTAAACAGAAGGTGCAGTTTATCCTTGGCAAACTCGCATAAGCTGTGGAGGAACTTAATGAGGTGCTTCCAGTTGGTCTTGTTACATTCATCGAGCCCATCAACAACAATATATGCCTGGTCCAGTTCTGAAAATAAATCCTTGAGAACTTCTTGAAGATCTTTGTGCTGCGGTAGAGTAATTCCGTTTCCTAGCGTTTTGTACAGCTTCTCAAGAGACTTATAGGGAGAAGGTGACTGTGCAGAGAGCTGCCAGATAATTGACCGGAGCATGACGTCCATGTGCTGCCTCTCGTTCCTAAAATCAAAATAGAAAAATGCAACCGCAGACCGGTTGGAACAGGCCTTGATGATTTCTTCGATAACTGTTGAACTGCTCGTGTAGGCATTATCAGAGGCAGTGAATGTACATAGTAGTCAGATGAACCACCTTAGTACGCTCTTTCCGGTCCCAGCTGCAACGGATGATTAGACATGGAATTGGAACACAATGAAATTGACTTACAGATGCCTTTGATCCACAAAGAGCTGGCTGTGGTCTTCCATTTAATGAATCGGCTATCACCTAAGAGCCAGCTCCCAGTGACTTCATGACAAAGTTTCCGCAGCTCGTGCTGTCTGTCCTTCATAGTAGGAGGAGACTCCAACCACTTGTACAGAACTTCTTCGAGTCTGGACATAAGTCAGCTTGAGAAATCCTCAACCCAGAGATCAATTAACCCTTGGCCCTGGTTCACACTGCCATTGTTGAGAAAAGACTTTGGGAAAAGGAATGGAGGGCACTTAACCAACATACATTGTCACTTGGGGACCCTCCCCTTTACCCCCCATGCCACCAATGCCGTAGGCATCTCCACCCGAGCCGCCGCGGCCCCCTGGGGACAAAATATCATGATGCCGACATCCCAGTTAAGTTTCCTACGCACCACTAATAGAGATTTGGGCACCAAAGGTCTTGACTTCATTGCCCTGGCTATACATGGTCAAAATGGATTGTTATATCACAGATATTCTGTAGGTGGAACACCATGTGAGCCAAAGTGAACATTAGATAGCAGAAAGAGCCACCCACAGAAAGGGTGAGGAGGATGTATTCCTTCGCGGTGGACCTGGAGGTGGGAGACAAGAATGGTCACCCTGAGCGCCTCGTGGAGAACAGCCTGCACTTTCACACGATGAATGTCAAAGAAGCAAGAAGATTTTTATCATCGGCTTCCATGCGTGATTAAATATCAGAAAAAATGTGTGAAAACTTAAAGCTCCTGGAATTGCACCCATTGACTTCTACACATAAAATGGTTAGAGGTAATCAATTTGTTCAGCATTCAGAGTGGTGGAGTTCCCAAAGAAGAGTCACACCGGCAATCACAAAATTTCGGGCAGCCCGAGCCGCAAATCGAAACTCAAAGTGTTGAGTTAACAATAGTTGGGCGTGAAATCCAAGCTGATTCTCTAAGTTTCGTAAAAGAATTCATGCGCGCTGAAAGCCAAAGAAAAATCTTTGTATTCGACTTAACTGAAACGTTAATGGTACTCAAAGTTTCAGTTTACAAAAAAGGCGAGCCGAAATCATGTTACGAAACTAGAGGTATCGACATACAAAAAGCTGGAGCTGAAACTAATATAAAATTCAGTGTCTCAGGTGTGCTTTCAGCGCTGCTCAAAGCAAAGTCGAAACTTTGCATTTTGAACGAGGTGAAATTAAACCAGATTCGATTTCACCTGGTTCGAAATGCAAAGTTTCGGCTTTGATTCCAGGTGAGGTGAAAGCACACCTGAAATGCTAGAATCTGTATTGGTTTCAGCTACATTGTTTTGCATGTTGATGCCTATCGTTTCGCAACACAATTTCAGCTTGCACTATTTGTAAACTGAAACTTTGAGTACCATTTAAGTTTCACTGAAGTTGAATACAAAGACTTTTCTTTGGCTTTCAGTGCGCACGAATTCTTTTACAAAACTCAGAGAATCAGCTTACATTTCAGGCCCAACTATTGTCAATTCGACGCTTTGAATTTCGACTTGCGGCTCGGCTCATCCGAAATTTCGTGATTGCCGGTGTGAGTGCATCCGTGCAGTCCCACATCACAGACGGTTGACAGACGGTTGACATCTAACTCGGAACCAGAACAGCTCCGCTGTCATGTGCAGACAGCTTCACCTGATTTGGTAACTAAGGAAGAGTACCGCTGTAGGTCAACAAAAATGCGTCAAGGTATAATCACACTCTTTATACAATTATGCATGTTTGTGGTGTCCCACAGCAAAAGAGGTGTGAGGTTTTGAAATAGCAGTACCTTAATTCGAACAAGAACCTCGGGATTCCAGATACAATGAACCAATTTTGGTAAGAAGGTCCGGTGTGCATAGTTACAGCATACTGCTTTCCTACCCAATTTACTCCTCTGCCGACCTCTGCACAATTTGTGGTGTCCGGCCGTGAAAGAGGTGTGAGGTCTTGAAACAGAACTTCAGAAGAACAGTACCTTGGTTTGAACAAGGACCTCAGAACTGACTTTCTTGCAATTTTCTTAGTGGAATCCCGTGTGCAGCAGTACACCGTAGTGCTTTCCGTGCCCTGTTCTCAGGCTCAGGAAGCCACAAGAAATTGGGTTATGAGGTGAAAAACAGAGTGGTGGGCGCAAGGAGCAGTACCTTGGTTCGAACAAGGACCTCGGGGATTAATTTTCCTGGATCATGCTGGTGGAACCCCGTGTGCAGATTTTACACCATACTGCTTTCCTTACCAAGTTTACTTTGTCGCCAATCTCTGGACAATTTTTGGTGTCCCGTAGCAAAAAAAGTGGTGTGTGGCAGCAGAAGAGCAGTACCTTGATTCGAACAAGGACCTCGGGATTTTCATAGTAAGGTCCCGTGTACAGCCTTACACCATACTGCTTTCTTCACCCTGCCGATCACCTCACAAATCTCTGCAGAATTCTCCCACGAAAAAACTGCAAAAAAAAAGAGGTGTTGAGGCAGGAGAGCAGCACCCTGGTTCGAACAAGGACTTCGGGATTGCGGAAACGGTGAATTCGCTTAAGAAGGTCCCGTGTACAGCCTTACACCATACTGCTTTCCTTCTCTTGTTCCAGGGCTCATAAACCTACAAAAACTTGAGTCCAGTTGCAAGGTAAAAAGAGGTGCGAGATCAGACTGAGAGCAGTACCTGGACTCGAACAAGGACCTCAGGATTCCAGATACGATGAGTTGCCTAAGAAGGTCCCGTGTGCGGACATTACACCATACTGCTTTCCATCTGTTGTTTGGAAGCTCATGGACCCGCAAGAAATTGAGCGGGTTGTGGGGCAAAAGGCGACGGGATTCGACAGCAACAGAGCAGTACCTTCATTCGAACAAGGACTTCGCGGCAACAGCCTTGCAAGAGCGCGCAGAGGAGCCTCGTGTGCAGCCTTACACCACACTGCTTTCCCTGCCTTCTTCCAAGGCTTAGGAAGTCACAAGAAATTGAATGGAGTTGTTGTGATAAAAGGTGAACAACGGTGAAAAGCAGCACCTTGGTTCGAACAAGGACCCCAGGATTAATTTAACCATACCACATCAATAGAATCCCGTGTGCAGTCTTACACCACGCTGCCTTTCTTCGCTTGTTTGGAGGCTCATATAAACCCACAGAGATTAAGTGGCCTTCAGAGGAAAAAGATTCAACACACCAAAAAAGCTTTGGCAGGAAAGAGCAATACCTTGATTCGAACAAGGACTTCAGGGTTACAGCTCTTGGAAGAAATCCTTGTACTGTACCCCGTGTGCAGCATTACACCATACTGCTTTTCTTCACTTGTTGGAAGCTCATAAACCTACAAGAAATTGAGTCGAGTTGTGAGGTGGAAAAGAGGGTTGACGAAGAAGTGATTAAGAGCAGTACCTTGGTTCGAACAAGGACCTCGGGATTAAGTGTCTGACAATTTCTTCAGTGGAATCCCGTGTGCAGCATTACACCACACTGCTTTCCCTCCATATACCACAGCTCATTAATGTATGCAAAAGATTGAGTAGCCTTGCCAAGGTCAAAAAGGAATGTGCTTCAACAGAGCAGTACCTTGATTCGAACAAGGACCTCGGGGTTATCCTGGGTCCGAAGTCTGTTTAGATGGGCCCAGTGTGCTGCATCACATAATACACCATACTCACTGCGTTTTCAGCAAAAACTCCCCGGGCGGGCGAAACTCGAGAGATATGTTGTTGCTCAAGTGTAGCCCGCTGGCGAGATTAAATGCTGGGGTGGCCACGCTTACGCATACAAAAGCCGCATTTTAGCCCGAAAATGGGTGATCCGTCCCCGCCTTGCTCGGGATTATCTCGAGCCTCCGGGAATAGCCTGGATGGCGTTTCATTGGCTCGAGGTTTTGCTTTACTTTGGCCGACCTAGGGATATTGCAGAAGCACGAACTTGGCGCTTTCAGTCTGGTCTGTTGGCGTTACTCGGGCGAACCAAGTGGCCGGTCTGGGCAACTGGGCCAAAATACAACGCCGGAGTGTCGCAACCGGGCCAGATCAATAGCCCGACTTTAGCCCAACTCGGGCTATTTGATCAACTTATTTAACCGACGTTTGTTAGCGGCAAGTCGGTGTTTCTCTCTTTCTCTCTCCTGCTCCTCCCTCCATCCTCAAAGTTGTTTGCCAAGTCCCTGCCAACCCCACTCTAGCCAACAAAGCAGTGGCCCCTCCCACATCTTCCCACAAAACAACTTGTCGCTCAGCGGTCCTCGCAAGTCTAATACTAGTACGCAGAAGAGCGCCGTCAACGCCTTCAAGTTCAAGTTTCCTTTCTTCCTTCAAACCTTGCTCCAAGTTCTGGTGGTTGTGGCCTACTGCGGTATCGATCTCAAGTTCTGGGGGGAGGTCAGTTATCATTTTATTTTAAGTAGTCAAAGCAGGTTAAATGTGTCCACCTACGTCGTCCATCTTGAATACATCATTGCTTTCCCTCTCTCCTTATTATTCTTTTGAAATGAAAAACAAAATTTGATAAAAAACCGAACAATAAGTAGCGGCGGAAACCCCGAACCGAATAAATTAGCCCGAGTGTAGCCACCCTTCCCTGACCATGTGCTCGAGAATAGCCCTCGGGCTGATCAAAGTATCTTGAGTTTGGCACCCAGGCCGAAGTCAAAGGCCAGACTTAATCCGTCCAACCGATTGTGATAGCCCAAAGGGGCTTAAGTCGGGATTACCGAGTAGCCCAACGCGGGCTAATGTTGCTCGATATGACGACCCACGAGTATAGCCCGAGGCCCGGCTATCTACTAATCCCGAATTAAGCCTTCCGAGCGATCACTTAGTCTCAACTTTCGCCACACTGGACTTTTTGCTAAAAACGCAGTGACTGCTTTACTTTTATTGTTCCAGGGCTCATAAACCTACAAGAAATTGGGTCAGTTGCGAGGTAAAAAGAGGTGTGAGATCAGGCTGAGAGCAGCACCTTGATTCGAACAAGGACCTCGGGATTAATCTTTCAATGGATAGTACCCCAAAACAGCCCCGTGTGCAGAGTTACACCATACTGCTTTCCTTACCCTATTCTACAGCTCATAAACCGGCGAGAAATTGAGTGACCTGGCCAAGGAAGAACAAGGATTGGATAGAATGGTGCAGAGCAGTACCTTGGTTCGAACAAGGATCCCAGGATTAATTCAATCACGACCATGTGAATGGAATCCTGTGTGCGGCATTACACCATACTGCTTTTCTTGGCTTATTACACCATACTGTTTTACTTCTGTTGTTTGGGAAACCTCAAAGAAATTTAGTGACCTTGCAAAGCACAAAAGGGATACTGGTATACTTCAGTAGAGCAGTACCTTGGTTCGAACAAGGACCTCGGAATTCCCGGTACTATGGGAGTACGCCCAAGAAGGTCCCGTGTGCAGCAATACACCATACTGCTTTTTGTGAATTGGGTGGGCTGCAAAATAGTGTTCAATCACGCAACTTGAACTCGCAGAAGCCGCGAGAGGGATATTTATAGTTTGAGTTGAAACCCATGATGCCCGAGGGCATCCATCTTGTGGGCACAGAGATGGATGGATGGATGGATGGGTGTTGAATGGATGAAAGATGTGCGGGAGGTTTGAGTATCCTGTGAAGCAAGTTGAAAGCAAGTTCAACCAATGTTTTCCCCGAAGCTACACCCAAACTTGAAACATACAGAAAAAAAACTGGATGACGTCCAGAGAATACCATCGTTCAGTCACCTGGAACCAAAACCTTTGGACCGCGACGGGACCGCGACTGGAACCAACCGCGCCCAGAAGATAGCACCCACGCCGCCATCCAAAATTGAACAAACATCCCAAAGCGGTAACGCCGATCGCCGATGTCATCGTTCGCTTACTTTGTTTACCCACCCACTCCGCATCCGCCTTTCAGCGTTGTCGCTGCCACCGACGACGACGCACGGATCTGCGGCAACACAACGGACAAGGACAAGAATAGGGAGAACAACACAAGGGCTTGACGACACCCGCTGTCTTTTGTTCATTCGAGCAAGCAAGCAATCTTCTGCAGCCGCTGCGTTGGGCGTTGCCTTTGTACCTTGTTGGTTTCGCGTCTTTGCTAGGCCACCACAGGCGCTAGCCTAACCTCACATCGTTCTGGTTCTGGTTCTCAGGCTCGCAGCGTCGACACACGACAAGTGACGACACAAACCTCACGAGACCATGGCCAGCTCCAGCACCACCTCACGCTCGTCCCGCTCCTCCTCTGCACCCACCTCCGCCTCCAGCAGCTCCTCCTCGTCGCAATCCATCCCCCCGTTCAGCAGCTTCCCCCAAACCGGATCCACCTCCACCGACCCCGGCGTCACCGCAACCGCACTCCCTGGCAACGGGACCGGTGATAATAGTAGTGGTGGGGGCGGGGGAGGGAATGGGATTCAGAGTAGTGCGCAATTGTACTGTGCGTCATGTTTTTTTTTCTTGAATTTTGGGTGAGGGACTGATTGGTTTCTTAATTTCCTTTCCTTTGTTTTGCCGAACGATATGTTACGCTACTCGACGTTGCGTTCCATCTACACACCGACCCGTCTCCTGCGCCTTCAATGACGCCTGGCCCCGTATTTGGACTGGACGACTCGCACTGGTTTACGACGACGTGCTATTCTCCCGCTCACCAACCCTCTGACACACCGGACCGCTGCACACCTCGACTCGACGCGATGCCCATCGCTCCTCGCCCGCACCCGCGACGTCCCCCCTTATCTGCTATGCTATACTGCATCCATCTCCAACTAACATCTCTCATGCGGCCGTATCCGCTCTTTCCGTAAACCCGTCTCCGCCTCAAAACAACCGCTCTCCCCTCCGCTCTTGCTCTTCCCCTCCCACTCCCCTCCCTTCCCCCGACTCTCACTCAACCCCTTCCGCCACCAAAATTTACTGATACCGTTACTGCAAACCAAAAATTCCCACCACCGCAGTATACACCTTCCTCGCAACCCTCATCCTCCTCCTCGCCGTCTCCGCCGCCATCGTCGTTCGGTCCCTGTTGTTAAGGAGGAGGCACAGGAGGATGGTGGCGGAGGCGATCGCGAATGGGACGTGGGTGGCGCCTGGTGAGTTGGCGTTTGTTTTTTTTTTTGGATTTGGATTTGGATTTGGGGCGTTTTGGGAGGCGGGGTGTGGGACGTTGGTGTCGGTCCCGTCTCACCGCCGGCAGTCGGAGCGGAGAGTGCTTGGCGTCTGCGCGGGGGTGGGTTGTCTGCGTCACGCTCCCGCGTCCTGGCGTCCTGGCCCTAGGGGAAGGCAGGGAGGGCTTGTGTCGCTTGGTGCGCTGGGATTCGAGGGCGTGCCTGCGTTCTGCGCTTGCGGCGTTCTGCGTTCTGCGTCGGCGTCGGCGTCGGCGTTCCTGCCTTTCATGCAGCGTGCGTCGTCTGCGACGGGGTTTCCGCGTTCTAATAACCCTATCCCTCGTTGCGCCGGCTCCTGCAGCCCCCTTCGTCTTATTTTTCTTCTTCCTTCTCCCTTCTTCTTTCTACCTCTGTTACTGCCCCACTGCCGCGCGAGCGCGTATCCTCTCGCCCTTCCTCTCCTTCCCGCCCCAGTCTTTCTCCTTATCTTTTTGTATCTCCCTCTTACCCAACCCTTACTGATACCTTCGCAGCCCCCCGCCTCCGCGTCGACCTCCGCAAGAAACCGCGTCTCTGGGACGCCTTCCTCGCGCCGCCGCCCGTCCTCGCCCCTGCCGCTTCAAGTAATACGACTCAAGGGGGACTGAGTGGTGGAGAGGGGAAAGACGAGTGGGACGGGATTATGGTGCGTACGAGTTTTGGTCTTATCTTCTTTTCTCTTTGCGGGAGACGAAGGGGGTGCGGTGGGTGTGGGCGCGGAGACTATTTCGTGCATATGGACCCGTGGGGATCGAGCCGGGGCGTGCGTGTGTGCGGACGGTGCTCGCGGTGGTGTGCATCGCTGTCGGGTGCGCCGCCGCGGACTTTTCACGAACGCGGATACTCAGAGTCGTCCTGCGTCGTGCGGCGAGTTTCGGGGTGTCGTGCGGGGCGGATGCTTGTCTTGTGGGGTACCGCGTGCGTGCGTCGTGCATCGTGCGTCGTGCGTCGTGTGTCGTTCTTGGGCTCGGACTTGTGCTGTGGGTCTCGCTCTTGCGCACCGACACGTCGGGGACGGTGATCGCGATGATCGCGATGGCTGGGGCTGCGAACGCCCGGCGTGTGTGACGCCGCGTCGTCCTCTTGTGTACGGACTTCGACGGGACCCTTAGCCGTGGTGGCTGCGTTTCCAGACGGATGAGGTGTATCAGCGTCCTGATCGACCGGGCGTGCGGCATCATTTTCGTTCGCGCATTGGCTTTGGTCGGCTCGACAGTAAGCGTCCGAAGGGCGCGACCCAAGTAGCGCTCGTTGTCCATGCGGCGGTGGGCGACCTACATGCGCGCGCGCCGACCTAACGCCAGCGCTGCTGATGCTGGCGTTGTTGTTGCCTTTGTATCTCCAGCAGTGCGAGGTTTGGTGGACGGGATGCTGCGGCGGATGCACAGGCTGCTCACTTCGCGGCGTGAGCGGGAGCCACAGGAACGGAGCACGCGCCGGCACTGCACAGTCGCGGGCGTGGAAATCGTCGTCGTTTCGCGTCGGAGCCGTGCAGCACGACATCATTGAGCACGGTGTTGGTGCTTCGCCGCAGCTTCTTCGATTTATCTTCCTCCGTCTCCTCCGTGTCTCATTTTCTTTCTTTCTTCCCTCTCTCCCTTCTTTCTACTTCCGTCTCCTACAAAACCTCGCTAACCTCCTCCCTCCCATCCAGCCCTTCGCCGCCTCATACACCCCCTCCCCACCCACCGCCGCGCCCACATCCACCCTCGCCCCACCCCCTCCCTCCGCCACCGCCACCACCAACTCAAATTCGCGCAACGCGTCGCGCGTCAATCTCTCTTCGCCCGCGTCGGCGACGAATCTCCCTGCCACTGCAGGCACGGCGCTGGCCACGGAGAAGACGGAGCCCGAGGCGGGGCCGGCGCAGCCGCACGTGCGGGTCGCGGTGTTAATCGCGATGCCGGCGGCGGGGATGTTCGCTGCTCCCCCCACTTCCACTAGTGCGACTGCAGCGCCGACGTTACATCCTACCTCACCCACAACGCCGAGGGAGCCGCAGCGACCGACATGGGCGCTGCACGTGCCGCCGACGGACGACCCCGACGAGCAGGGGCTGCCGCATTTGGAGATGGGGGTGGTTAGTGTGGGGGTTGTGCCGGCGCATGAGGAGGGGGCGTCGGAGGAGGATGGGGAGGGGAGGAAGTGAGTGGGGTGACTGGCGCTTTGGGTGTGTTGTTTGGGTCGCTGCGTCTGCGCCGGAGCTTACGTCGCTGGTGGAGGGGTTAGTGGGCCGGACGAAGGGAGTGAGGGATGACGTGGATGGAAGGGGAGACGGACACTCACGCATATATACCCCGATGGCGGTTCGGGTGACGGTGTTGCTCGCAGTATAAGAGGTGCGGCAGGGAGTTGGGAAGGTGGAGCATGAGGACAAGTAAAAGTCACTTACAATGGAAGTGCTCGCGGTGTAGGTTTATGATGTATTTTATCCTTGCTTTCTGGATCATGCATGATGCTTTCCCCCTCGCGTTTTGGTTGAGCGAACGGGCGGCTTGACTTTAGTGAATAAGTAGGTACCTATTATGTTTTCTGACGGGATTTCTATCGCCCAAACTTGACTTCGGAGTTTCGCCAAGGTAAATAGGGGCACTTCCCCAAAACGGCAACTCTGTTTCCCTTTTGGGAATGGGATGCCGGTCCGGGCGCCCGAACGCAAGAAAGATTTTTTTTTAAAAGTGCAGGGAAAAGCCAGCATCTCACCGACTCCGGAACCAAGTAGGAAGAGCAGTGTGGTGGACGGAGAATTACTAGTACTGTTCCGAGCCAGTAACGTCATGGACAGGCGACTGACTTTCGGTGGACCTTGGTTCGATTCAAGGCGCTGCTTCATCGGATTCGTCCCATGTATTTTTCTTTGGTGTGCTTGGGTGTTCAATTGAGCGTAAAATGAAGCCAGTCG